GTTTACAGTGTGTGTTGGTAATCTAACGGCACTGCAAGTGTTTACACTTCCGACTCATCTTGTCCAAACAGCACTTATATCTGCACTACATCGTCTTTCAACATTAACAATCGGATGCCAGACATGCACGGGAAAAGTTCAAGCTTGGCGAGCGTTCGAGAGTCACACCCTCGAAATGCCCAAGGTCTGCGACCGACAGGTGCTTATCAATGATGTCCCTGATCTCTCCCTCACCATCCTCGAGGAAGAGTTTGATGAAGGCCTCGGCGGATGCCCTCCGTTTGATGAGTGGTTTGAGTACTTCCTTGTGGAATCAACCGTGGAGGAGATATACGAGGTGCAACTTGCACTTTGCCTTAAGTAGTGCCGCGATAGAACTTGCGCGGCTCGAGTTCTATCGTGAATCGGATGAGAGGTCGAGAATTTGCGAGATAATTTTTTTCAAAATTTTGATGATGAAGAGTTTTGGAGGATGACACGCACCACAAGAGTGTCATCCCCGTTCATTTCTGAGTTGAGAGGAAGTCATCGCGTGTTTGCCAACGACAACCATTGTCCGCAAGCCCCAATGTGGCTTCAGCTTGCCGTGACCCTTGAAATGGAAATGGAGCATCTATGAGTCGCACAACAAAAATATGGGGAGTAGATCCTGGCACACTCGACCTTTCACGACTCGTGTGGTGATCGCATTGACCAACCTGTCCGACGAGTACATTAAGTGGCTAGCCGAGACGAGCGACGGAGTATTTCGGAAAGAATGAAGCGCGAAGGCTTCGCTGACTGTGTGGGGTTCGTCGATAGAACTACGTTCACTCTACCACAGAAACCAGGAGTTGACGGTCAGTGCTTCTTTAACCGGAAACACCGGTATAGTGTGAACGGACAATTCGTTTGTGACGACCGCAGGTGCATTCTTGCGTTTTACAGTGGGTGGCCCGGTTCCTGTGCTGACAGCACGGTTTATCGTGGGATGCGCTGTCAAAAACGGCTACAAGCCGTACTTCTTTAGTTCTGGTCAGTATTTGCTGAAGGATTCTGCGTATCCCGCGGACAAGGCACACACCACACTGGTACCAGCTTATAAGAAAATCAAGCAGGAACTGACAACGCAGTTTTCAACACATGTGTGTCTCACGTAAGTGTCGTAGAACGAATATTTTTTTAATGCGATGACCTTACGGCTTTTCAAGACACCAATTGTATATGCCGTTAAACGAATATACAATTGGTGTCTTGAAAAGCCGTAAGGTCATCGCTGAGAGAGCTTCGCGGTCAGATTAAAATCAAAGAAGGCATGAGGCGCGTTTCACGATAGATTACCGCATGCGTAGTCCTCCAAATTTTGCTCATTGATATTAGAGATGGCTGGTCGACATTTGAACAGGGTTCTTCGTCCGGGGAGTAGATATCGAATGGGGAGATGACGAAACTATTCCTTTTCGAGAACAACTGAAGGCTCGTGCTGTCACGCATGGACGTCAACCTGGTGGTATATTGCGGCTCCGAGGTGAATAACTTGCAGCAGGCAAAGATGGTGCACCCAGTAGCCGCTCCAACACTCATAATTTTATTGTCGCTTACAAATGTGGCACCAATACTCGTAACACAAAGCAAAGTTTTTGTAACTCATCGTTTCCTAACCAGAGCGTATGTCAATGCAGCCGCATTGGCACTCTAGCGACACGCACAATCGACTACCCGTGATTGTCATAGATTTCCAGCAGCTCCTTCATCTCGGTTATTGCTTGCCCTTCTCAAATAACACAAGGGAAAACTCATGGCGCTCCGTTGACTTTCAAGAAGCTGACTCTTTCTCATGTCGCTCTCGATTCTGCTGGAACTGATCCACCCCTTCAGATCTTTCATCCGCCCATTTTTGATTGTTGAAGTTGAGTTGGTCATATAAGAACTTCTGATTTTCTAAACTCACCTTTAGGTGCAATTCAGTAAGAGATTAACTTTTCTGCTAATTGGTTGCTCTTGTTTACTTTTCACCAGTCTTGTTACCCGCCGCACTCTAGATTTCGATCAATCATGTTATTCTAGCAGCCTTTTCACTCAGTTCTGGGGCACGTAGCTTGTTGTATTGACACTGCCTACTGCCCGGGTGTGGCGAGGAGGATGCCCTTGAAGTTGGTGTTGATTGGAACAAGCGGCTTGACTGGGATTGATCATGCAGCGTGCCATTGCTGTAGTGGCTTGAGCTGGGATGCGTGTGTACCTCTCGAATACGGCAGAGCGCCATCGCCCAAACAGTTTAATGGTCAGACTGTCGATGCCGCCGGCGAAGAGAGCTGTGGCTCCACCGATTCGCAGCGAGTGTGTGGAGAAGCGGCTCGAATCCTGGCCAGCGAGGTTGGCGGCCTTCTTAATCCACTTGTTAACGTCGTTTGAACGAAGAAATTCATTCTTCTTGACCTTGCACAGTAATTCGTCGGGGTCTTCACTGACGGTCCGGTGGTGTTCGACTAAGAACCAGATAGCACGCACAGGACAGCACCACTGCGTCTCCCATGAAGTTAGCGACCGAGAAGTACCTACTCCGGCCTGGTCGTTTTTACCGCCACGAAAGTTAATCTCCACCTGGGCTTTACCTTCGCAAATTGTGCCAGCTTGATCGTAAAACTTGATGTCGGATCGTCGAATAGCAAATTGGTAGATCTTGTTGTCATGCATTAAATACTCGCTGCGCCTTAGCAGAAAGAAGAAGCCCATGACCGTAGCCCCCCATAGGACACGGTCGTGAGCTGAGTGGAAATTGAGTTGTTGGTGGAGTATGCGGAGGATGGACACCGTAATGGATTGCTTGGGTCGGGGCGAAGGCTGGAGCCGATGGATTCCTTTGATTGCCATCGCGTGGTGGGGAAGGAGGCCGATATTGACTCCATACTCGCAGCGATGATACCACGCGACTGCACTGATCTTGGACTGGATGGTCT